GATGGTCTCACCTAGAGCAGTGCCATACTCCAGAAAGGATGCAGCTCAATAAGAGTTTAGAAGCAGTGGTGCAGCAGGGACCCAGTATAGAAACTCATCTCATCATTAGATTAGAGGAGCAGTGCTTGGAATAATAGCCACAGACACATACCGGTGACAGCATGTGAATCAGTGGTTGGGAGAAATTGTTTTAAAGACTAAAATAGCATTAACAAAAGATTTTTATCCTCTATGTACAGCACTAGTAGGTGTTTGTTTACATATAGATCCGTTTACCTACAAGACTCAGAAGCCAGTTTGGGTCTCAAGGGTAAGTATTAAGGCCCATTTGTTCTTCATCTACACATTCTAGGCATATGAAGATTTCAGTTCAATATGTTTCATACAGTAAATTGTATTTTGAACAGAAAAGTCACGAGGCAATAAATATAAATTCCCTGAAGATTCTGAGATTCCCATTCTGTGAATTTTTAGTGGAATGCTATATGTGAGCTTAAGGGTGCCATGATGCTGGCAGAGCATCAAGAAGCAGAGGAAATGCTCCTTGTGTGTTTGTAATGGGAGTTTTGGCACTTGATGCAATAAGTGAAGACAATGTAGTAACGATCTGTGTACCCAGAAATTAATGTCAGCAATGTCCCTTAGAATTTTTATTCATAGCAAGAACCTTTCTCAGTTCTAGGATGTGCCATCTTCACTTAGATCCTACAAGGTAATGGAAGTGAAATGTGCTCAGCATATTACAGGATCAGGCATTCAGAAATTCACCTACTTTTTGGAGTCTGAACCCACTTCATTAAGAGATCCTCAGATAGCCATTTATTTAAATATATTAAAAAAACAGAGTGGCTTCACCAGACCATTAGGCCTGCAAGAGACTGCCCACCCAAAAAACACATTGCATGGTAAAAAGGCAGGCTCCAGAATGCAGACAAAAATCTTTCTGAACACTAGTCAGAGCTTCCAGAGCTTTCAACTAGCGATAAAAATAACCCCCAAAAAACATAAATCCAAACTGTTCCGCCAGCAGAATGTTTATTAATTTAACCAGACAAATAAGTCTTTAGTAGGAGCCTGGCAGACCACTGTCATTCCTTGATGGTGCTTAGAAGTACTGACCACTTATTCCAATGCTGCTGGTGTGTTCCTTCCTGGCTGAACTCTGTTCCCTGCTCTGTATGTGACACAGACAAAGAGCAGAGTGCTGATTAATAGGAATACACAAAATGGCAATGCAACAATATGCACAGCACTTTCAATGCCAGAGGCAGAATTCAGAGGAAGAATGGGAAACACAAGCCATTTTTATTACAGCGCAGAGAGAGAAACCGATAAATGTAAAGAAGACAGAAGAATCTACCTTTATCAGGCTAGAAAGTGCAATAGTTCAAGATGCTACAGTTGAGACTGTATCTCTGTATGCAATAAAAAGTTAGAATTCAAGGTGCATTTTAAAAAGGTCTACCTGCTATGACTCAAGTTCAGAGCCTCAGGTTTCTGTTTTTCTCTTACAATATCTGATGGCAGAGCAAGAATCATAAGAAGCTCCACATTTATATTCCTTATACAGCTTTAGGTGCTTAGAAAGTCATTGGCTGTAGCAGACAAACGAAGAACAATTAACTTGACTCTTGGCTACTACTGTGAGCGTAGGAGGTGATTTGCAACACTCATTTTAAAACATTATTTATTTGTAATTTTTAAGTGAGTACGTATTTTCTTAATCATTTGGAAAAACAATCTGTATTTGTCTGAAGGAAATGCATTTCCAGTCACCTTTAAATGTGTTAATTGCACTGGAAAGTAATCTTACATGCTCAGTGTCTCGGAAGAGTGTATGGTGCCAGCTCCATTGGCAGTAGTACCAAAGAGCCTTGCTGGCACAGTATCATCTCAAAGTGTCACAGGAGGAATGGGACACTGACAGACATATCCCTATTCAGGCAGACAGAGTTATCTGTGGAATAAGAAACAACACTGACTGAAAGCTAGGACCCTTCCTCTGTAATGGAGAACCAAGTGTCATACAGGCCTGCATAATAACCTGCAGGTGGTAATGAAAGAGTTAATCCCCCTGTTCCGTTCTGAAATAGAAAAGGGAGAGAGATGGATACAGCAGGAAATAAAGATAAGTACACTAACTGGATACACAGGCAACACAGCCTTCTTCCTCACAATAGCAAGTTCAAGTTACAGCTGCAAGGTCAGTGGAGTTCATTCCAACATCTACACAGATGTTACCATCTTAGTGCTTCAGGACTCTACACCCTCTAGCATTCAAGCTGCTAAATGTTGTTCCATGCCAGGTTACATCACTTTCCTAAGCACATGTTGCCTTATGCCAGGCACTGGTATCACCATATGTCAAGTTTGTAGAATTAAAGAAAATGAGATTCACTGATTTATCTTGGGGGTGAGGGTGGAGATCTGTCCCTGTTCATTCCATTGATTTGTTAATTCGCACTCTCTACAGTCCAGCTGGTGTTGGGAAGAAAACACTCTTTCCTGCTAGGATAATGTGACTGAGGAACTTTGATGATCAGAGGCTGATAATTTGAGGCTTTAAAGATCACTTAAATAAGAAAACCTCTGACTCAAAGCAGATCAAAATTATAAATTCACCCTGAAAATGTGTAAATATACAAATATACAAAGACCAACAGTCTTTAAGATTATCTTTTTCACTCAGATCTGCAGAAAGAGTGGCAGATTAGACTTCAAGTTGTAAAATGAAAGACAATGAGGTTCATTTCAAGGCAGTTTGAATGTATTTTTAAATGAATTTAGTGCTGATGAAAGGGCTGACAGACCTCATGACTAAAGACCTCTTTTTATCAACAAAGCAAGTATGGCACAGGAAACAACATTCCAAGTTTTCCTCACAGTAGAACAATGCTATGTACCAACAACTTCTGAAGAAATTAAGCATCTATTCTTTTTGGTTGCAAAGACATTGTTGCCTCAGTTCACAGTTGGTATCTTCCTGACTATGCACACAGATCCAGTGCCACTGCTGCTGCTCCTAGCTTCCCAAACAGTATGAGTGAAGTTAACAAGATTCTGTTTAGCTTCACTGATGCTATTCAGAACTCCTTGAGCAGATGTGAAATTAACAAGAATCATATCCTCACCACTCTCTTCCTGCATTGGAAAGCTCTGGAAAGCAAAAGAGGGGCTCTGAAGTATGTACAGGGGGAGAAAAACTTTAAAGGGAGGGGGCTAGGAAAGAGATATAGTACGAGACTCTCACTCCCCAACCAACAATAAGGCATCCCCAGGGATAAGAGCTATGGTTATTAAGTGTTAAATTTGTTAATAGCCTTTTATTTGAAATGTCACCTTGTCGTTGCATTAAGGAAAGGGGGTAAGTAGGAGCCCCTGATTTACCTTCTTTACATCATTGTTTTACATATCTCTATCAAGTCACCTCTTTGTCTCCACTGTAAAAGGATTAAATTGTATACTTTAATATCTCCTCAGACAGAAGCCCTGCTGTGGGGCTAAGAATTGCTATTGCCTTTCTTGATCCCCTTCCATTTCTACTTTATCTTAGCTTTTTTGAGATGTGTTGACCAAAACTGAACAAAGTTTTCAAGGTGAGGGTATACCATCAATTTATATAATGGGATAACATCAGGATTATTTTCCACTATTTTTCACTCACCTTAAAAACCTTGTTTGCTTTTTTGACCATCACAATGCATGTAGATCTTTTCACCGAGCTGTCCACATTGCTGGCTAGGTCTTCCTTTTTGAGTGAAAAGAATGAGGGGTACTTTGGCACCTTAGAGACTCAAACATTTATTTGGGCATAAGCTTTCATGAGCTAAAACCCACAAGTACTCCTCGTTCTTTTTGCTGATACAGACTAGCATGGCTACCACTCTGAAACCTTTTTGAGTGGTTACATTTAAAACTCATCAGCACATTTGAGCACTTGAATTATTTCTGCCAATATGCATTCTTACGCTTACCTATACTGAACTTTATTTGACATTACCCTGCCCAATTGCACCACTTCGTTTGGTTACTCTGGAGTTTAATTCCTTTTTCTAATCTTAGTTATCCTAAATAATTGTGCAGCATCTACAGTTTTGCCACATCACTCATCTACCTATTCCTTCATTTAGAAGTACAGGCAGCACAAAAAGCCATTGCAGAGCTACAGCTCAGTAGTAACTAAACCCAAGTCTCACACACACCCCCTCTATACCAGCAGTTCTCAAACTTTAGAAACTGAGAACCACCGTTTTGATTTGAAATTTTGCCACAGACCTCCAAGCCCCCACCTCTCAGACCCCCCTCCCCTTTGCTTGCCCTCCCCCTCCCAGCATTAGTGCTGCAGCACAGACGCTTCCTACATCTAGGGAAGGGCACTGTAGTTAATCTAACCCGCTGAGAGGTTAAGCTAAGTCATTCATAACCGAGCAGCGTCTATAGTGGGAGTAGGGTTGGCCTATGTGCCTAACAGGTCTGAGCGATGCAGCCAGGTAGGGAAGGCTCTATGTGAACGAACGAACACCAGCAACACCATCGTCTAAGCGCCTGATTTAAACAAATCAAGTATCCAACAGCGCAGCCTTTGAACAGCGCGCTCGGAAAGTCTTTCACAAAGAAATCGGGGTTTGCCCGCCCCGGTTAGCGTCTCCCGGGGTCCGCCACAACCCAACCCGCTCAGGCGGGGCCTGTCCGCTCTCAGCAGCGACCCGGCTCCGCACCGAGCACCGGCAAGCGGAGAAGGGGACCCCAGCGCTCCGCTCACAGCGGGGCTCGGAGGCGAGGTGCACCGGGACAGCGCCTCCTGAGCCGGACACGACACGGCGGCCTCAGCCGGGCTCCCCCGGGACCGGAGCGGCGGGGACGGGAACCGAACCGGTAACGCCCCCCACACAGACACAGCCTGGGCGCGGCGGAGCCTCCCAGTAGCGGGGCCACCGACCGGCTCCGGAGAGCGCTATTGGCCCCGCCCCATCCACCAGGCCCCGCCCCCTGCTACTCACCATCATGGGGACCCCATATCGCAGCGTCTTATTCTTCACGAGCGGCCGCAGCCTCTCCAAGCCCCGCCGCAGGCTCCGCGCCGCCGCCTCCTGCATTTGACCCCGCCCCAACACTTCCGGGAGGCGCGGTCCTTTTCAAAACCAGCCCCCCGCGGACACCGCGCCCTGAGCAACTCGGTTCCGCCCCGCTGCAGGGAGGGGCCACACTCAGCGCAGGCGCAGCCATAGCATGACGTGAGCTTCGGGAACGCGGCTGGACAGACCCGCATCCAACCCCCGGCACTCGCTGCGGGGCGCCCCTCTCAGAGAAGAGTCGGGGGGGCGGTGTAACATTAAACTGCTTCCGGTGTAATTTGCGGCAGGTAGCGGATACTGCAGGGAGGTTCCCCATGTCGCAGCGAGCAACTTCCGCCCCCCTCGCCCCCGCTCCAGGGGTGGGCGGAGGTGGAAGGGGGGGATTAGTGGAGCATGAACGTCACAGCTTTAGTGTGGCCATGTAGACAAGCCCTCATTAACCAAAGGGGAGGGAATAAGGGAAATTGAAGGCGGGCGGGAGGAGAGACTCTAATTCCTTGAGTTTAAAATGCTGAAGTTGTTTCGCCCTGTCATCTACACAACCCGCAGGCCTCAGGCCCTGGGATGACATACCTCTGATAGCATAGCAGAGGAGCAGTATTACCGCAGTATCGGAGTTGTCAAGACATGGACAGGAATAAGTGCATTTAACACCCGAGTCACCCTTATAGTGTGTGGCCTCACTGCTAACAAGGTGTGTTTTTAACTGCGGGGGATCTTCCCGGCTCTTTGAGCTCTGCATTAGCTACTCCACTAAAAACAATGGGGGAGACAAGGCACTTCAGTTTCACCACAGGGTAAACGAGGTGAGGTCAACATTATGCCTCTGCCCAACTAATGCAAAGTAGTAACAGAATAATTTATGTAAAAATATCTTTGATTTTGGCGAGAAGTACGAAAAGCAAACTTGTCAGAATGAAGATCATCACCGAAACGTCATCAGAACAAAATAGGCAGCAAACCTAAAGGCTATAAAATTAAATCTTCAACTAGAAATGTAAACAATTCAGAAGAAAACACATGTGCACAGCAAATGAAATAATAGAAGAGTAGTGTGTTTCCGTGTTTACAGAAATAAGAATTTTTAATACATTTTAAATTAAAGTGTGTGTGGGAGGGGAACCATATGTTACTTTGGAAGTCCAAAGTGGCATTGAATGTTATAGTGGGATTCTCAAAAGCCTCTAAGTCCTTTTGTCCCTCAGAGAATATTTGGGAACCAAGTTCTACACACAAGTGGTGATATGAAAAAGCACTAGGGTACAAGATAGAGAAGCAAAACAACAGTGACTAAGGTGATCCCCATTGGCAGATCAAAAGAAACTGAAGAAGTTTTGATATCAACTCAGGAAATCAGTCAGACTTGGTATGCATATGAGCCTGAAGAATAAACTTGTGTCATAAATTAAAAAATAGTAAATTACAAAAGTGAGATGTGATTGCTGAAGCTACTAGCAACTATTTAAATATGAATTACTATTTGCTAATAAAAATATAAAAAGCACAATGACATCTGCACAATTATAATGAAGGAACATGATGACATGCCAAGAGTAATAAAAATAGCATTTTTAAAAGTAAATAATTTAAAGGAATGAAACTACATTTACAGTGCATTACAAGAAAAAGGCAGTCCAATTCAGGCAATCTGAACAGCAGCCAAGACAAATTTGTGAACTGCCATGAGGCTTTATGCAGACATATAAACAGATTAGGACAGGAGCGCCAGAAGCTTCCTAGAAGTGGGAGGGCAACTGTCACCGAAACCATGGCCCTGGCCCCTGCTCTGCCCCTTCCCCCGAGGCTCTACCTCCACTCGCTCCTCTCTGCCCCTCACCCCACTGCTCGAGCTTAAGGCAGATAAAAAGTGATGGGGTCATTGCCCCCAGCCTATCCTGTTCCAGCACCCCTGGATTAGGTTTTTTTTAAAAATCAAACAAACAAAAAAACCACTAATACCATATATGACAATTATAATTTTTAGGGGGGGGGCTGTACCTGTAAAATATTTCACCACGTCCAGTCTTTTTTAGCAGCTCAATATATCACTTCAGATAAAGCAGCACAGCCTTATCTAGGCATTGGGATGCACTGTGCCCTTGAGAACACAGCCCTGGGAAGCGGGTGCTGAGATGTATCTTCCTGCAAGGGAGGAAAAAGCCCCTCTGCCCCCCAACATCCTATTTTTGCAACCACTGCAGAGGGCTCACTTCATTTGAGGTAACTTTTATCCCTTCTACCCCTCTCTATCCCTGGAGTTTTCCTTTCTGCTGCTGTCTGGCAGGGCGATGACTCACTGGTGTGGCACCTCCTGCTGGCCATCTTGGGAATTAGCTCTTTCCAGCCCAGCACGCCCTCTGCAGGCTGGTGTCCCATCTGCCGCTAGCCCTGTGTCCCTCCCAGACCCCAGTGCCCTTTGCCCAGGGGTTCTGCCCACCACAGTACCCCCTCTCTCTGGGTCTCCCCTCCCAGGGGAACCCCCAGCCCTCTAAACCCACCTTGCCTCAGTGGCTACTGCCAGTCATCATCTAGCCCCCGCTCCCTGGGGCCAACTGCAATCTGAAAACCACTCATCAGCAAGAGGGTTAGGACCTACTGCCTTTGCCTATCTCTGGGCTACCCCTCTGCAGCCCCAGTACCTTTTTAAGGCCTGCAGCCTGGGGGTTTTCTAGGCTGGAGCTCCTCAGCTCCCTCTGCCTTTCCCCAGCACTGCTCTACCTCAGGTACCCTTCTCAGCTCCTAGGCAACCAGGTCCTTCTCCCTCAAGAAGCTAGAGAGAATGTATGCCCTAGCTTCTGGCCCACTGCCCTCTTATAAGGGCCAGCTGGACCCTGATTAAGCTGGCCACAGCTGTGGCTGCTTTCCCCATCAGCCTACCTTTTCCCATCTGCAGCCCTCTCCAGGGCTGCTTTAACCCCTTCAGGGCCGGAACAGGGTGACCACCTCGCTACACAGTGCCTCTACCTCTTTCTTAACCCAGACTCCTGCCCCCATCCCAAGGGTTGCCAATCCTCCAGGATTGTCCTGAAATCTCCAGGAATTAAAGATAATTCCTAGAAGATAATAAGGTGATAAGTAACAGTCAGCATGAATTTGTCAAGAACAAATCATGTCAAATCAACCAAATAGCTTTCTTTGACAGGGTAACAAACCTTGTGGATGGGGGGAAGTGGTAGATTTGGTATATCTTGACTTTAATAAGGCTTTTGATGCGGTCTCGCATGACCTTCTCATAAACAAACTAGGGAAATACAACCTAGATGGAGCTACTGTAAGATGGTGCATAACTGGTTGGAAAACCATTCCCAGAGAGTAATCATCAGTGGTTCACAGTCAAGCTGAAAGGGCATAACAAGGGGGTTCCACAGGGATTGGTTTTGGGTCCAGTTCTATTCAATATCTTCTATGATTTAGATAATGGCATAGAGAGTACACTTATAAAGTTTGCAGACAATACCAAGCTGGGAGAGGTTGTAAGTGCTTTGGAGGATAGGATTAAAATTCAAAATGATGTGGACAAACTGGAGAAATGGTCTGAAATAAATAGGATGAAATTCAATAAGGACAAATGCAAAGTACTCCACTTAGGAAGGAACAATCAGTTGCACACATCCAAATGGGAAATGACTGCTTAGAAAGGATTACTGTGGAAAAGGATCTGGTGGTCATAGTGGATCACAAGCTAAATATGAGTCAACATATCACTCTTGCAAAAAAAAAAAGCAAATATCATTCTGGGATGTAATAGCAGGAGACACAAGAAGTTATTCTTCCGCTCTTCTCTGCATTGATTAGGCCTCAACTGGAGTATTGTGTCCAGTTCTGGGGGCCACATTTCAGTCCAGAGAAGAGTAACAAAACAATTAAATGTCTAGAAAACATGACCTCTGAGGAAAGATTGAAAAAAATGGTTTTTTTTAGTCAGGAGAAGAGAAGACTGAGGGGAGACATGATAACAGTTTTCAAGTACATAAAAGTTTGTTACAAGAAGGAGGGAGAAAAATTGTTCTCCTTAACATCTGAGGATAGGACAAGAAGCAATGGGCTTAAATTGCAGCAAGGGCAGTTTAGGCTGGGAGCCAGAGTAGTGGACAGGCCTGGGTCCACCCCCCTCGCCACTGGGGAAGTGGCTGGACAATTGACTGTTGGACATTAGGAAAACTTTCTAACTGTCAAGGAACTGGACTAGATGACCTCTCGAGGTCCCTTCCAGTCCTATGATTATCTCTATTTGAAGATTATGTCATGTGATGAAATCTCCAGAAATATGGCCAACCAAAATTGGCAACCCTACCTGTGATGGGGGATCCACTCACCACACTGGCGCCTCCTGATGGCTGTCTCGGGGATTAGTACTGCAGGTCGGTACGTCTTCTCCCAATGGTGTCTCGCCCGCCATCATGTCTGCTCCCAAACCCGCATCACTCCAAGGACCACAGCATCCCGTTCATGGTTTGAGCGTTGGCCTGCTAAACTCAGGGTTGTGAGTTCAATCCTTGAGGGGGCCACTTAGGGGTCTGGGGCAAAATCAGTACTTGGTCCTGCTAGTGAAGGCAGGGGGCTGGGCTCAATGACCTTTCAGGGTCCCTTCCAGTTCTATGAGATAGGTATATCTCCATATATTATTAAGGAGGGGAAGGGGGAGAGATAGCTCAGTGGGTTGAGCATTGGCCTGCTAAACCCAGGGTTGTGAGCTCAATCCTTGAGGGGGGCCATTTACGGAACTGGGGTAAAAATCTGTCTGGGGATTGGTCCTGCTTTGAGCAGGGGGTCGGACTAGATGACCTCCTAAAGTCCCTTCCAACTCTGATATTCCATGATTCTATGTCACAATCTCTGCTTCCCCACCATCTGAGGGCCCTGCAGTCAACTGTCCAGCCACTTTCCCAGTGGCGAGGGGGGTGTACCCAGGCCTGCCCACTACTCTGGCTCCCAGCCTAGGGACCCTGTAGATGGCAGCCACGTATTGCATCCTCTTCAACTCAATACATTTTCCTGGGCCACTTCCCCATGGTCCCAGCACCTTCTTCACCCTCGCATCAGGATGCCAGTCCTAGCACCCAGCCAGTAGCTCCCTCTACTCTCCATTCCTGCCCAGCACGGCTCTGTCCAGGGCGCTAGCTTCTTTCTATCTGCAAGGCACCTAGTCCACGCTCCTTAAGCTCCAGGGAGTAACTGGCCTTGCACTGCCTGGGTCTCTTTTTATATGGGCCTGTT